AGATAATACCATAGTTAGTACTATGATTCGACAGTACTCTACCAGATACTACCAGTTAGTACTATGATTCTGCAGTACTCTACCAGATAATACCACAGTCAGTACTATGATTCTGCAGTACTCTACCAGATACTACCACAGTCAGTACTATGATTTTACAGTACTCCACCAGATACTACTACAGTTGATAGTACTGATCTTATGCCTTTTGCTTCTCCTGCAGCTCCGTGGCAGAGCAGTTGAAGCGCGGCGAAACGGTTCAAGCTGAAGCCTTCGACTCGGTCACCATCTACTTCAGTGACATCGTCGGTTTTACCGCCCTTTCTGCAGAGAGCACGCCCATGGAGGTCAATACCTAAGTCTTACACCTCCTAACCTCTGACTGAAACAGGAAACAAGTAGAAGAGTTGTACTCCTAATCACTTCTTCGCTAACAATAGGGTACTTGCTAATTCCAAACAAAGTTAAAAAAACAATCCTCTGGACTTTGTTTCCAAGTTTGAAGACGTTTCTCTTCCCATCCAGGAAGCTTTTTCCATTCAAAATGTCAGACATAGCGTTGAGTTCCAGGCTGTTCTTAGAGCAGCTAACGTACCACCCAGAGCTAACAGTTAGGAGCCGTGGGCGCTCACCCAGTTTTGTTTTAAAATTATTCCAATTTCATGGAAAGTTATATGTTGGATTTATTGATTAGATTGTATTGTAGTTACGTTGTCATTGAGCCCTCTGGTGCATTGACACCCTATGTACATGTTCAGAGCAGTTTAGCTAAAGTGCCCGGGTTTTTAAAGACCAACAACAAAGACTACATTCCCAACAAAGTAGACTTTGTTGGGAATGTGGTCTGAAAAGAAACATTAGCTGGAGAGAGAGGGCCAAGACATGGAGCCGCGGGTCAGGACTCAAACCCGGGGCAGCCGTGTCGAGGTCAAAGTCCTCCATTCATTGGTGAGCCGTTCCACCACTGCGCCACCGCCGTGCCTTACTTATGGTTGAAGCAGCTGTTTCTGAACCATGAATACTGTTTATATTTAGTTTACTTAATCTGGAGCCTGAATAGAATTTTGTGTGTCTGCAGGTGGTGACTCTCCTCAACGACCTTTACACCTGTTTTGATGCCATCATAGACAACTTCGACGTTTATAAGGTAACAACTGTTGCAGCTGTTAGGGTCAAGATTAGCAGAGGAGCGAGGTTAAAGGCATCGAGCTGCCGTGATCACGACAAACACAGCATGGAAACCGTTAACCCAGAGTTGTTGTCCTGCGGCGCCCCCAGGTGGAGACCATTGGCGACGCCTACATGGTGGTCTCAGGGCTGCCGGTGAGAAACGGGAAGCTGCACGGCAGGGAGATCGCCCGCATGGCGCTGGCGCTGCTGGGCGCCGTCCGAACGTTTAAGATCCGACACCGACCGGAGCAGCAGCTAAAGCTGAGGATCGGCATACACAGTGGTAAGGAAACTGCAGCACCCCCTAGTGGCGAGAGGGCGATTAAAAAAAATGTTGAAAATACTTTGCACAATTTATAAATTTCTTATCAATATTTTGGGAAATTATTTTTTTGTTTTATTTTGATCTTGTGTTCTTTATGTAATGGAGAACTGCTCAATAACGTTTACATAGTATAATGTACTTATTTCCTTGTGGTTTTTTGCATAAAAGGATTTTGGACAATAAAGTAGTGAATCTCAATCTAATTACTTATTTATTTTATTTTAAATAGCCTTATAGGCTCATACGTCCTTAGTCCAAAAAAACAAAAACAATTTCACAGCACCCCCTGTTCAAAAGTTCTTCCAACTGCCCAGAGTTTTTGAGATTTCCCTGGATTCAGTTTGGGAATCCTGGAAAGGCTTCCAGGCTGAAGGAAGTTCAGGTTAAGATGATAATTCCTGATCTTCTTCCAATGTGAATCATTTATAAACCATTAAAGATCCTCAGAGGAAGAAGAATTAGTTTCCATCTTTGCTCAGTCCCAGTTTTCAGTCTTCTCCTCTTAATGAAGCTCTAAACAGGACAGGAACCGACGTCCCACCCTCAGAACAGACGGGATCTCCTCACTTCTCCGTGTCTGTGTGTGCAGGGCCCGTGTGTGCAGGAGTGGTGGGTCTGAAGATGCCTCGGTACTGTCTGTTCGGAGACACCGTCAACACGTCCTCACGGATGGAGTCCACTGGAGAAGGTGAGAGCTGCTGTTCCTGATGCCAGTGGTGCTGCTGCCCCCTGCTGGTCAGAAAAGCTGCCAAATACATGACCCAAGGGGATGGACTTCATCCAATCAGCATCCACTTAAAAGTCTGATGGTAGAAGAAATAAAGTAATCTGCACCATCCTGAGGGCTTCAGACAGATCACCTGACAGAACAAGCTCAGGTTGACCAGCAGATAAAAGAATAATTAAAGTTTCCCAGGTCTCTACAACATCAATGATTAACCTCTTAGTTTTTTTCACATTGAGCTCTAGATAGTTATCATCACAATATTTCACAAATTGTGAAAAGATCTGATTGAGACCCTAGAAGAGGTTTCTGTTTTATTCAATTCAGTTCAGTTTATTTATATAGCATCATCTCAAAGCTCAAAGTTTCCTATCTAAGGAAAACCAGCTGATTGCATCGACTTCTTGGTTCAACAGCAATCCCTCACACCCAACACACTTGTAGCGACAGTGGAGAGGAAAACCTCCGTTGAACCGCAAGAAACCTCCAGCCGAACCAGGCTCAGTGCGAGCGGCCATCTGCTGAGGCCCACTGGGGTTCAAGAAGACAGAAGCAGACTTACAGGAAGAACACAGAAGCACTGACCTATAAATATTTTCCATGTTAGAGAAGCTAACGGTTAACTGGCTCCACAGGTGGCTCTGTCTGGGAAGGAAACAGTTAAACAGATGAGCCCTGAACCAGTTTTCAAGTCAAAGGATGAAAGAGAGAAGATCCAGTTAGTCACAGCTGAGCCCATAGCTATAGGAGAGAAACAGGACTAAACACTGAAAAACTATCTGGGATGGAGGTCTTCAACAGGGAGTCTGCAGAGGTACTGCATGGGGGTCACAGAAGTTTTTTATATTAATTCCCTCCTGGAATTTTTTCCACTAATTGAAATGTCTTTAAATCCACATTAACATGAATCCAACAGACTGTAATAAACAGATAAATGGAGGCAGAAGATGTCTTTCAGTCATCAATGCTCACATTCAGAGACACACAGGAGCTCTTTCAAGCTGGACACCGTTTCATTCACAACACCTGTCCCATCAACCAGGAATCAGAAATGCTTTAATAATCCCAGGGAGGGATTACTTTAGTTACGTTACTCCATCTGTGATAGAGTGACTATAGGACCAGTTTGATAGAACACTATTTCATACAATATATATAATAATTAGGGGGCCCCGCTCCATCTCACCTTTGGTTTGGGGCCCTTTGCCTGGAAAAGTTTGAAGACTCCTGCTCTAAGGTTATGATGGTAGCAGCACAGCTGATATTTCTCACTGCAGTTCTCTGGAAATCTGCCTCTAAAGGTTAATTTTATAAAATGGGACCTGGGGACCGAACATTTGGCCCCAGGTCCAGTTCCCGGTTTGATTCTGGTTCTGAGTTGAATCCCGTAATGGAGGAATCACACATTAGAACATTCAGACTGAAACCACTGAGATTATCGCCACAGATTAGAGTCGGCCTCAAACAGGTTACCTCACCTCACTCCAAACCAGATATTTTTACAAGAATTCATGAAAAGAAGTTCTGGACCGGAACCGGTACCAGCAGCCGGGCTAACGGTGATCTATGTTTCTGTTCCTGCAGCGCTGAAGATCCATGTATCGGCGGCGACCAGAGACGTCCTGATGGACCTCAACTGCTTCCAGCTGGAGCTCCGGGGAACCATCGACATCAAAGGGAAAGGAAAGATGACCACCTATTGGCTGCTGGGAGAGAGCTGCAGCCAATGAGAGCGCACATCGGACGGAGGGGGTCGGTCGTTTCCCTGCTGAGTTTCCAAAGGAGCATTTTAGGAAAAGCAGCAGAGTTCAAGGAGAAATGTCCTGGTTCTGGTTCTGGTTCTGGTTCTGTCTGAGGAACACAGACTCTGAGATGTGAGGAGGCTCAGATGGAGGCGAAGGATCAGACAGGAGCACAGCTTCCTGTGTGAACATCATAATCTGGATTAATCCGTCATCTCCTAACGGACAGAACCAGAATGTTTCTGCAGACTCGGCTGATTCTGCTCTGATTGAGTTTGGAGCAGAAAAGTCGATCTGGAACATTTGGAAAGACTGCAGCGGGTCAGCAAGACCTGGACCTCAAACTGGTTTGGTTTAGGAGCGGGACGTCCAGGAACGACACGTAACAAAGTCCCAGGAAAAGGGTTCAGACCGTAACCGAGTCCACGGGACAACTCCGAAAACCTTAGGAAGTCTGGAGAACTGCTGACCCAGACCCCTACAGGAAGAAAAAAAATCAGCACTGGACTGAACTCTGGAACCGGACTCTGGTTCAGGACACACCGGATCTGGACTCTGGATCAGGACTCTGTATCTGGATTCTGGATCTGGACTCTGGATCAGGACACTGGATCCGGACTCTGGATCTGGACTCTGGATCAGGAATCTGGAGCTGGACTTTGGATCTCAACTCTGTATCAGGACTTTGTATCTGGACTTTGGATCAGGACACTGGATCTGGATTCTGGATCCGGACACTGGATTAGGAGACTGGATCCGGACTCTGGATTCTTGACTCTGGATCTAGACTCTGGATCTGGACACTGGATTCTGGATCCGGACTCTGGATCCGGACTCTGGATCCGGACTCTGGATTCTTGACTCTGGATCTGGACTCTGGATCAGGAATCTGGAGCTGGACTTTGGATCAGGACACTGGATCTGGATTATGGATCCGGACACTGGATTAGGAGACTGGATCCGGACTCTGGATCTAGACTCTGGATCTGGACACTGGATTCTGGATCCGGACTCTGGATCCGGACTCTGGATTCTTGACTCTGGATCTCAACTCTGGATCAGGACTCTGTATCTGGACTTTGGATCAGGACACTGGATCTGGATTATGGATCTGGACACTGGATTAGGAGACTGGATCCGGACTCTGGATTCTTAACTCTGGATCTAGACTCTGGATCTGGACACTGGATTCTGGATCCGGACTCTGGATCAGGATTTGGAATCAGTACTCTGGATCTGGAGTCTGGATAAGGACACTGGATCCGGACTCTGGATCAGGGCTCTGAATCAGGAATCTGGAACCAGATGTGTTAAATCATGCAGTGTGAACCCTGGAGGTTCAGGATGTGTTTTGGAGAATCTATCAGGTTAGTTTTAGTGTTTGTGGTTCGGTGTTTGACTCTGTGGTCAGATTTCTCCTCGCAGCTGCAAATTTTATCCCCCTGTTCTCAAATGTAGCTCCATCATTCCCAGTTAGAAGCTCTGGCTGGGACTAACTGGGCTGCAGGTCTATGGAGTGAATTTGTTCCGTTATTGTTGCATATAACGTATTATTCAAGTATTCTATATTGTTTTACTTTGGTTCTTTTCAAACTTCCTTTAATGGATCAGATTCTGTTCATTTCAACATGAACGCTCAGTCTTGACGTGCATATTGACCAGCAATGTCCAGCCGACCAATAGAAATGCATCTTTGTTAAAATTATGATTTTTTTTTTTATTTACTCATTTTTTTAACAGGGACAAGTATGTTTTATGAATCATGTCACACACTACAACATTTTAGCTAAGGCTAATTCTCAATGTCTGTCCCCAGTTAAGCTTTTAGACAAAACACAGTGACTGCAAACAAGAAACAACAGAACAAATTACACACAAAAACACACAGATACAAGATCAGGTCAGTTAGATTATTAATGATTATTAATGATCTGCTAAACGCATTCAGAAAAGAATGCAATTTGTAAAACTGAATCTAAAAAAACAGAAATATGATTAAATGAATAAAATCCGTAAAAATTATCTCTACATTTTTTTTTTAAATTGAAGATATTTTTATTTATTTATTTTTATTTATTTATTTGAATTTATATAAGGTTTTCTTTGCTTGGAACAATACTGGAACAAATTCACCCCATATGGCTCTACTGCAGCTCTTTACTGCCTCCCAGTGGCTGAAGGCAGAAAGTTTCCAATGGTTTCTGGGAACAGGTGAAACCTGCAGCTGTGTTTCTCTCAGTGGCCACAAGGGGGAGCAGAGAGCTGTTGGAACCAGAAGCAATAGTTTAGTTTTTCTCTGAAGTGTTTCCATGCAGAAGCGGTTCAGTAATAAAGTGTCTTAGAACTTTGCCAGAAGCCGCTCTGCACTCGTTTCTCTGTAAATATGTGTTTTAAAGAAAAAATGACCCGATGGGTCCGAGTCTTGGTGATCTTTAGGGGTCACAGCAGTTCCAGGCAGATCCTATTCAAGCTTCAAAGCTTCATTATTAATCCTCAGCAGTAGAGTCATTCCTGTTCAGCCCGTTTAAGTGAAAATTATGAAGGAATAATTTTTCTCAGTTAGAAATCAGGATCAGCAAAAATGTATCTTCACTCCTGATCGGGCGAAGTGATGCCTAGAGTCTGCTTTAGTTTGGTTTTAGCCATTAAAGGTCAAACATAAGAAGCAGCCGGCACCATTAGAAAGAACAGAATAGAAAAGAAAATGCCTTTATTGTCCCAAAATGGGGAGATTTATAGCAGCAAATGGTTATAGTAGAAGTGGTCACACAATGTGCACCTTAGTAAAGGTACTGTACAGTGTTTTTACAATAGAAATACTCTGTATCTGGAAAATAAAGAAAAATCAATATTCAGGTGTGGACATTTTTACAGTAATTGTTTATTTATTTTATTTAACCAGGAAAAAAGTCCCATTGAGAGTAAAACCCTCTTTTTCAAGGGAGTCCTGGCCAAGAGGCAGCAAAGTTACATAAGAAACAAAGATACATTAAAAGGAACAGAGAGCAACAGCTGATGGTTGGATCTCAGGGCAGAAGAAGCCATGCTTTTCTGTGGAAGTAAGGTACAAATGTAATCCAAGAAGGGCCTTGGAAATAAAAGTGCAGCAATGACACTAGAGAGGGAAGGCCATCCCACCTGAGAGGACAGGTCAGTGTACAGTAATGGATATTTGAAAATAGCAGCAACATCAGAGATGTGCAGAATGACAGCAGCAGGTTATTTAACTGACTGAGGTAGAAACTGTGCAAAATCAGCCTGAATGGAACAACTGATTTAGAACAGTGGTGGTTCTAGAGCAGGGGTCACTAACTCGGTGCCCGCGGGCACCAAGGGGCCCTCAGGGACCACATGGGGTGCCCTCTTCGTCTTCTGAAAACCGAAGAACTCACTCAGTGGGTTAAGTTAAAAAAAATGTTATTCTGTTGCTCTTCTTTTTAATCATTTATGTATTATTTCATCATGTTAACTATTTCATCATATTTCAGTGGTTTCAAAATGACAATATTAAAAAGAAAATTAGAAATGAATAAAAAAATAAAATAAGAATAAAAATTATTTTTTATGGATGAGATTTACTGTAGGTGAACACTGATCCCTCCAGTTCATAGGTCAGTATTGGTAGCCCTTCCTATGACTCGGTAGCCATGAAGCAGAGATGGCAAAAGTACTCACTTTCCGTACTTGAGTAAAAGTACAGATACTTGTGTTAAAAAATACTCTGGTAAAAGTGGAAGTACTGATTAAACTTCTTTACTCAAGTAAAAGTAACAAAGTACAGGCTTGTAAATTTACTTAAAGTATAAAAGTAAAAGTAGAAACCACTTTTTTCATGCTGTTGCCTACATTTTAAATGGATGTCTGCCAATAGGACTAGATCTCCGTTGTGTTCATTTTCAATCATCTCGTCGTCCATGCTACTATGCTAACGCCACCGCCACCAAGCTGCAATGATTTGCCGCCAATGAATACCGCCGAATCTGTCGATTCATCTTGTAGTGGTGCGTCAAATGCAACGTAGATTCCCATCCAATTAGATTGAATTTGGTTTTGATGACGTGAAAAATAATAACGGTAACTCCATTGAAATGATTCAAAACTAAAGTAACGAGACAATTTTTTAAAATGTAAGGAGTAGAAAGTACAGATATTTGTGTAAAAATGTAAGGAGTAGAAGTAAAAAGTCGCCGTAAAAATATCAGAAAAATCTACTTGAGTACAGTAACGAAGTATTTGTACTTTGTTACTTCCCATCTATGCCATGAAGTAGCCCTCAGCCTTAAAAAGGTTGGTGACCGCTGTTCTAGAGTCTTCCAGCTGCTGGGAGGAAGGATCTGTGATAACGCTCCCAGGTGCGTTTAGGGCGGTGCAGCAGTCTGTCACTGAAGGAGCTCTCCAGTTCAGCACCAGTTTCATGCATGGGGTGAGACGTTCATTTAGTTAGGATTGTCTGTTTCCCACCTCCTGGGCATCCAATCACAGCTGACCTTCCTGATCAGCTGATCCAGACGCTTCCTCTCAGCTACAGATAAGCTGCTGCTCCGACAGGCTGATGCCACAGATAAACCTTTCACCGTCACTGTTCATCTTTAAGAGAAAATTTGTTCTAAAAAAATATTTTTTAACCAACTCTAGTTTATTGATGTCAGTAATTTATTACTGTAGTTTTGTTGTCAGTTTGTGGTTAATATGTTAATTGAGACGTGAAACTAACCAGGACGTTCCACGTCAGAGTATCACTGCTGCCACCCTCTGGTTTAGAGAGGTACAGCAGGTTTATTAATGGAGCACGTTTCAGCAGCACAGTTAGAAGTGCTGTAAATAAGAAAAATAAAAGTACGTTATATTAGAAATAAATTGTTTAAATAAAAGTATATTAAAACTTGAATAGGCACTGAAAACTTTAATAGTATTTAGATAACTCAGTCTAAACGCATTAAACAAATAAGGTTTTAATCTTAATTGCTTATGCTAGCATCATGCTAAAGCCCCCAAACATGCTTCTGCTATAGAGCTGCTCACTGTAGATCAGCCCATGAACACATCTGATGCTGAGGAAGCAGGTAGCAGAGACTCCGATTGGTCTGAACCAGTAGACGTCATGTGACGTCTTTACTTTTCTCTAACTGGTTCCCAGTTTAGCTGCTTCCATCCAACCCTCCAGTCTCAGTGGCGCTCCCACCTCTGGATCGGACAGCAGCAGCAGAAACGCCAGCTTCCTGTTTTTCCTGAAATCAAACCAGTCTAACACGGTTTTTGTTGAAAATGTACAAATTTATTAAGGAAACAGAAGTTATCCTGACAGGCTGTTAAAGATGAAGGTTTCAGCGTCCTGCAGGGGGCAGCAAACATCTAAACCTGATTTAAACTGCTAAACACAACAACAAAAAAAAGCAATAAAACCGATCGTCCCTTTTCTTCATTACAAACGGAATAAAACATCAAAGTTGGAGCCGCCGAGACGCAGAGTCCTGCAGCGTCTTCATGTGATGAGCTGGAGGAGACAGGAAATGAGAACGATCAGGACATTCTGACCGACACTAGGGGGCAGCAAAGACACAGCTAACAGTACATGTTCTACATGTAGAAATCAGGCATCTTGTCCAGTGATTCCTTTCCAAGAGCTTCTCTCGGTCTGATGATTGTGGTGAATTTTATATTTATTAACGGTTGTCAGCAGCCATTTATTCTAGATCTGCGGTTGGAAACCTGGAGCTCAGGGGCGGCTGGTTTACGTGCTACAGAATGGAGAAATACCTGCAGCGTCTCCAGAACTTCATGTTGAGTTTCATGTCTCCACTGCTTTGATTCCCATCGTGCTTCATCTACATTCCCT